GAAATCTACCATGACCATCTAAAACTAATTTGAAAATTTGTGTCGAAACGTTTTGACTTCTGAATCTGAAGTCTACAACTTCCTCACTGCACAACTTCCTCTGAAAAGGGTATTTCATGACGTATTGGTAAGAGTACCCATATACACAAACCTCTTGGGAAGGAAATTTGGCTGTATCTATTAGAACTAAAATAACAGCAACAACAAATGTTGACTCAATATTTACACTCCTAGATATTTAGTCTACGAGAATAAATGCATCAGTGCACAAAGGTATGTGTGCAAGGATGTTCACTAGAACGCTGATTTTTTTCAAGCTCGTGTTATTTCTGTAAAGAAAGGAAAAAAGTTTATCTTCCTTAAAGAGTAAGGTCAAAGTGACCACCAAAAAGGGCAGATTGTAGTTTTATGAACGTGAGGTTCCGAAGGGTGATGCTGAGCAACGAGACAGTTGATGGCACCGCCACGACCTTGGGGGCCTCGCGGTATCTGCCATACCTACCAGCCCCATCCAAGAGGTGCCTTATGATCACGTGCTCTGTACCAGGTGAATGGCCGACCCAGCTACAGCTGACTGGACCAGGGAAGGCACCTGCACCAAAGGCAGCTCATCAACTGGTTGACCAGGGCACACTCAGATGCCTCTCGGGCGGTTCAAATCGGCAGCTGGCGACGGGGCAGAAACCAGCGGAGACACAGACAAGACGCGGGAAAGCAGTGTATCGGTACACAGATGGGCACAGGTGAGCGGAGACTGGAAGTCATGCTATCTACCGACCCCGCCCCCCACCACCCCTCCTTCCCCAGATACCTCTAAAGTAACTGCTCTTTAAACGATATTTTACTACATACCTAGTATTTTTATTCAATCTGAAGTTCAACTAGCAAAACATTAAAGCTTGGATTAAGTCTTTAAACAGTTTAACCTCTGAAAAGATTATGGTTCCCTCTACCCTCTAATGATGTATAATTCAAAATAAAAATACTAACAAAACCACAGTAAGTGTAACTAAGTTCTTATGTCAATTTTTTTTCCCTATAGTCATGTTATGAAGTATTAATGTTTTCCTAACAATGACGAAAACACTCTAGTTACCTACATGTGTTCTTGGCTTGCCTGCCAGGTAACCCAGCTGCATTACCCATGGTGCAGTGGGGCCGGGCCGCCCACATCCCAGACCAAAGCTTCTTGCTACAGGGTAGGTCCCCAGAGACTAATGACCTCTAGTGGTAGACGGACAGCATGTTTTTTACTTTACTTTGTATATGTTCTGGCATTTTAAAAACTGGATCACAGGAAAAAGAGACATATCAGTGAATGATACTTTATTACCTAAATATACCTTAATGTGTTTGAAGACTGTTAGAAAATTATTATAGAATGTATTCAATGTATTCAATTACTAATTTAAAGCTCAGGAAGCCTAGCACTGTTAGGTACCAAGGAATGAACTTTAAATTTTCTTTTAAAACATCAAATACAAGATTCTTTTTCTAATCGAGTATCAAATTGTTTTTAGAAGCTACATAGTAGGAAAGTCTTGAGCCTCGATACCGCCATCCTTATGTTACTTGTTGCTCCATGACTGAGGTGTAGTGAAGCGGACGGAAAGGAACATCCGTCGGAAGTGCGAGTTTGTAAGACTGGAACAAACGAGCTAGACTTCGCACGTACAGCAGCGAGGAGAGAAGAAAGATGCAACCGTGCTCCATCCCATCGTCTCCTCCCATGCCCCAGCCCGGCACCATTAAGCCCGGTCCAGCTCGGCCTCTCCTCTGTGAATCCAGTGTTCACAGTTACTGAGAAGAGCAACAACCCAGCTTTTGGCTCAGAGAGGTCTCTTGTCGGGTTTCTGGCGGCACAGAGAGTTTGATGCCGGACCAAGTCTGGCCACCTCACTTTGCTAGTGAGCGTAGATAATGGTGCGCCTGAATTAAAGCCGTGCTCTCTGCGGATTATAACGTAAAATGGACCCCTTGGCCTTGCTGACTGTGAGGTTCCTTGACGTAGATGAAATTTTTGCCTGCTTTGTTGACTGATTTTTGTTTTTGTTTGTTTGTTTGTTTTAAATAGCTTGAGATGTAATTCATATAACATATTTACCCACTTAAAATGTACAACTCGTCGTTTTTAATATATTCACAGAGTTGAGCAACTAGCGCTACAATCTATTTTGGAACATTTTTATAGCCCCTAAGAGACGGCTGCACCCATTAGCAGTATCGCCCATCCCCCTCCTCTGAGCCTCGGGTCACCCCCCTGCCTCCATGAACTTGCCCGTTCTGAACATTTCATGTGAAAAGAATCACACGACGGGTGATACTTCGTGACTAGCTTCCTTCATGTAGCGTAATGTTTTCAAGCTCTGCTGACTCATTCCCTGAATGGGATTTGAATCACATCCACACCTTAATATTTCCAAATATTAAAAGCATATTTTAGATATTCATGGGTAGATATGACATGTCTTTCCAAATGCACGGCTGTTTAGTTTCCCACTGAAATTACAAGGCTAAGTAGGTTCTTGAAAATAAAAAATAATAACTTTTACAAAGCCATCGAGTTTTGCAAATATGTAATGTCTATCCTACAGGAAATGCAAATTAAGTTCTCGATACCAATGCACTTAGGGCTGGCTAAAATCACATCACCACACACATTCGTCCTCCCCAAGATACTTACTCAATTTATGAAGCCAAAATCGCTTATAAGTCAAAAGATAAACAACTCAGTACAAAAATGGACAAACACATCGGACGGACACTTCACCCAAGATGACACACGCGATGGCAAGTAGGCATTATGAAAAGACGCTGAGCATCACTAGCCGTCAGGGAAATGCAAGTCAAAACCACAGTGACGTTCCACTTCACGCCAATTAGCATGACTATAGTAAAAAATATTCATAAAAGCAAGCGTTGGCAAGGATGTAAAGAAACCAGAACTCTTCCACACAGCTGGGGAACATAAAATGGCATAGCCACTCTTTAAAACAGTGCGGCAGTTTCTTAAAAAAGCTAAAAATATACTTAACCATAACACTCAGCATCCCTAGGTATATTCCCGGGAGAAGTGAAAACATATGTCCACCAAAGACAGAAATGCCCCCACAGCATGTATACAACTGTCCACATCATTACTGATAATGTCCCCAAACTGTTAACAATCCAAAATCCATGAACTTGTGGATGGAGAGATAAAACACGGCCCATCCGTGCCATGGAATACGATCAGTGATAAAATAAATAAATAAGTCAATAAAACCACAGATGCAGACACGATGCGTAGGAACCAAAGCACGTTATGCTAAGTGCGGACACAAGACCTCAAAGACTCCGTGTGTGATGATGCCACCCTAATAACCTTTCTGGAAAAGGCTAAGCTATGGCGATGGAAGCAGGTGGTGGTTGCACGCCACTGGCGGCTGAGAGCTGAGCGCAGATGAGGAGGGCACGCATGTTAAAACACCAGGTGGTGAGGGCTGTTGCACAACTGTGTACATGTACACTCAAAGTCATCAAGCTCTACCTTCAAAATGGGGTGAACTGCACTGTATACAAAGTGTACCTCAATGAGCTTTCAAAGGAAACGAAAGATCAAGTGAATATTCACGAATACAAACCACACGAGCCATACACCTCAGCAGCTTCGCTGACAGCACGCACGTCACTAATGGTGACATGAAAGTCTGGCCATTCATTCCTATATCAGCGAGTCCTCAAACTGTTTGGTCAGAGGACTCCTTTACACTCTTAAAAATCACTGAGGTCTCGGGGAACTTTTGTTTATGTGGATACTATCTGTTGATCTTTACCATATTAGTAATTAAAATGGACAACTAAAAAACATCTTCAGTGATCCAATCTAAAATAACAATAAACCTCTATGTTAACAAGAAGAACGTAACGTTTAATGGCAAGTATAGTTATTTTGCAAAGCAAAAGGAAAAACGGCGAGAAGAGTGGTGTTTTAAACAATTTTTGCCTGTCTCTTTAGCATGTAGCTGAACAGAAAACAGCCGACTTCCCACACCGGCTCCTGTAATCTTACTCATCACGGGGCCTCTCGAAAGCTGCACCGTACCCACGGGAAATGGGAGTGAAAAAGGCAAATAACATCTCAGCAGTATTAGGAAAGCAGTTTCGAACTCACGGACCCTCCGGAAGGATGCTGGCAACTCTCAGCCATCCGCGGTCCATCCTGGGAGAACCGCTGGCCTAATTCTGCTCCAAAACCTACCGAGGTTCACGGTAACGAGATTGCTCAATTTGCACTGTCGTTGATACAGATAATTTATGATCAAGCTCTTTCGAAAAACCGGATCAGAACACCTTCTGAATATAGGTTTCAGAGCCCTTGGACTCCTTCATTGTATAGACCCGGCTACAACTTATTTAAAGAAAGAACCGAAATGAGATGCATCCATACTTACTTGCTGAATATCAAACTCTGTTCTAGATTTATCGATGATAGAATAAATAACATTATTACACATGGTCAAAACACCCGATTGCTACGGTGTTATTTTCTAAAGCTACCATTTTGTCACTGAGTCAGAAGTTTCTGTTTCACACCTTTTCCCCTTTTCCCCATCTCTATCGTAATAAAAGATCCTCCCCAGTTTCTGTATCTAAAATAATAAAAGGTTCTGGAATTTTTCTAAAAGGAACCTCGATATCATATCGAAAACAAGCAGGCTAATTTTCATATCTGAAAAAACAATGATTTAATGGTCATTTTAGAAAACATGGTCCCTTTCAGATCAATTACTATTTAGTTCTCCGGCGCCTCCCAGTTAAAGGACAGTAATATGACTCGTCAGTTTATGTACACTTTACGTCCTGAAATGGTTGGTGACACTGAAGCCTAGATGGCCCATCTCATTTGGAACGTCTTCAAAGCTTCGGTCTTGTTGAAATGTACTTCCCACATAATGTGATTTAAAGCAACAGAAATCTAGACATATCTTTAACTCAAAAACGACAGTGTAAGTACTCACTGCACGATATCTCCTTCAAGAGCGATCACTCGCTTAATGATCTTCTGTGCTGGGTTTTTAGGGGACCTGGAATAAGAGAAAGTTACATAATCAGTTATGTCTCTGTTGTTTTAAGGAAAGAAAAAAAAATCTACAACGACATCAGCTACATTAAAGGCATCACAGAATCATGAATGCATGACATTGGTCCTCCTTAGGGCCCTAGTGGTATGGAGCTACTATTTAAGTAATTCTCATTTTAAACCTCTGGAAGAGGAGAAGTCATACTGAAACTTTACCCCCCAAAAATAAAAAATACAAAAAATAAAGAGAGAGAGAGAGAGAGGGATAAAGAATTTTATTATTAACGCTAAGTACTTCAGGAAAGAGGATTCGTCTATAAAAAATGATTAGGCATTTCTTCCAAATGATAACATACTTAAATCATTTATTTCATTTAAAATTAACAGAAGAGTTTGATTTAAATCCTCAAGAAAACACTGAAGATGAGACGTATTTTTTTTTTAGGCGGGGGGAGAAAAATAGAAGACTTAGTAAATTCTTTACACTATATTTAGATTTAGCCATTTAAAGATTATGTAATTCACCGAAACGGGGCTACTGACAGTTAAAAGAAATTGATAGGTTGTGATCTACTTCACACAGGCATCATTTACTCTAAGCTGTGATTGATGGCACAGGGTAAATATCCACTTAAAATGAACTAAATGAATCCCCTCCCCTCCCTCTCTTCCTGCCTCCTGTCTGTCTCCCCACTTCCCTCTCCCCTTGGAGCTCTCACTCTGCGGGAAGCCACGTCTGTCCCCAGCAGCTCTACTGAGAGGCTCACTGGGTGAGGAACTCAGAAGCATGTCCTTCGGCCTCGTGTTTCAGAGAGGCCGGCGGCTTCACTGCAACCTCCTGAGACCTTGGCCCAGACCAGCCACTGAAGCCACCTCTGCCTTTCTGGTCCTTAGATAATAAGGGGAAACGTGTGAGATAATAAGTGTTTGTTTTAAGCTGCTAGCGGTCGAGGTACTTTGTCACACAGCGATGGGTAGGTAACGCAGTCTTAATCTGTCCAATTTCCTGCCAATAACGTTTAAAGTCTTTTGCTTTAACAGATCTGTTTCAAGGAACATTTCGTGTATCATATAAATGATCATTTGGTAAGTACTTGAAAACCAAGGATAGATAAAAGTATTTTGAGCCATATTTGAATTGAGTTACTTTTAAAAAGAAAGGTAAATGTATGAAAACCGAAAAGATTAAATATATTCAAAATATAATATTCCATCAAAGGAAATACGGAGTCTCAAAAAGATTAGTATTTCACATTATACCTTGCGGAGAAAATAAAATCATCCAAACCATTTGCATCTACTTGTGATGATTCGTCTAACAATTTTTCACTAAATTAATTCTGAATATTCTTTATTTTAAAAGAGAATTTGATCAAAATGGTTGACTGAACTGTCCTGTTCACTGAATTGACCGAACATTTTATTTCTATAAATTCGATGTCATTTGTGTACAGCTAGATTGAGGGCACTTCTGAGATGATGGAATTCACATCCTCTGATCAGGGCTACTTACAGACCTTTAAAAAATTTCTCCCATGTCTCTCTGTTTAGATAACCAGAAACATACAAAATAATATTCGGCCTCAGTGATCACCAAAGAATTGCTTATTAAAACAATGAAGTGTCATTTTCCTATTATACTGACAAAGAAATAATAATAATAAAATAATAATAACGACAACAACAATAATAGTTTGTTGTTGAGGGTTTACGAACATGGACACTGAATATAAAGTGTGTCATCACGGAACATATCTCTTTGTAAATATGTCAGGATCTTATATTCTCTTTACCATAACAAGGTATTTATCCTAATCAAATGATTGCAGAGGTATGCAAAATTTCACCTACGTGAGTGCTGTCTATTTTTTTTAAAGAAAAATATTCAACACGAATAGACTCATTAAATAAATTCCATCCATCCACAAAACCAAATATATATTTCTAGTTATTAAAAGTGATGTTATAAAATAATGTTTAATGATGTGGAAATATCGACAGAAAGCATAGATCAAAAATTCAAGTTAGAAAATATTATGTGTCCCACGATCTCGCATCAGTAATTAGAAAGAAAATATGCATGCGGTGGTACTGGGAGAAGCCAGGAAGGATATAAAAGAAAAGGCGGGTGGGGAGAGGGGGGAGGGGTTCTGTGTGTGATAAAACACGTGCCTGCATTTTTGGTTCAGATTACTGGGAAATCCCATTAGCAGATGACCACTGTTTGTGTCTGGTGACATCACCTGGGAAGAAATGCTCCCAGGTGAGGCTGAGACTGGAACTAATTACCAAGTTCCCTCCACCAGATACTGACCCGACATCGAAGTCGATGAAACGGTGTGAAAAGCAACCCTTACCGAGACAGAACGGTATTTTCCGCCAGCAACCTTTAGGCTTTTGAAATACTTGCAAACTATTTTACATTTCACAATAATCTATATTTTTGAGATCACGGAGCAAAACGGAATATGCGAAGCGAGCTATCTATATAATTAAAGTCATGAATTACGACTTAAATGTCTCTATAAATTTTAATGTAATATTAAACTCAAATCTAATCAAATTATTCAAACTGGAAAAAAGAGCCATTGCTAACATTCCCCCATTACTGCTCAGGATCTATATTTTAATCATCAGGCCGTCTGAAGGCATCGCTTCGAATAAGCGGAGTGGTAAGGAGCTGTCAGCCTCAAAATTCCCTTTGACTACATTCTCTTGGCCTCTTGCCCGCCCCCTAGAAAATGTGAGGAATAACAAGCGAAGGCCCGTGCCTTGCTTCGGGGATAGAACATATTCCTGCCCAATAAACACTAAAATTTACATTTGAATTTGTCATTTTAGAGTGTTCATAATAAGCATTGTTTTACAATATTTACTTCTGGAGCCTGGATTTTAATCATTGTCTTATGCCGATGATTTAACTAGGCAAGATAATTCTCCAGAGGCTTAGAAGTGTCTCAAAACTCCGTAGGTCAGTTTGACCTGGTAGAATCTGTCTCTACCCAGAATGGCTATGAGGAGGAGACAGGATCCAGCAGTCAGAAGGAGATTTTTATGATACTTAACATTCTTCTTGAATTCCACTTCCTATCTTAATAGAAACGTTGCCATTTTTACCCTGTGAAAGGCCAGGCAGAGCTATGTCTTTGGTCTTGTGATCTTTCTGACTAACCTCACGTTTGTGTATGTCCCCCGAAGGTCGTAATTCTGATCCCATCCGGAGCCCGGGGAAGGTACTTTGGAATATTCAGGTACCTTCTGTGTTTTGTGGGGATGGGGAGATTCGCAAGCGCTCTGCCCCCCGGTGTCTCCGACCCTCACGTCCGTCCTGACGTCACACGTTTACCCCAGGCCTGGTCGAAGGACCCTCATTCTTCTCTCGTTTATAATAAAATTCTGGATCATACAGATTTTTATATTTACATGGTTTGGGAATGGCCACATTATCACAGAATTAATCTGAGGGGTAGAAGGCACTTTAGCTACAGCCTAATATAAACGTCGATCCTTCAAAAATGCCAGTTTATTGGACATTAATTACTGCATTTATTACAGCAAAGTCGAAATTTTAACTCTTCATTGATAAAATAGAAGTAAGAACTGATAGTCTGGGGATGCCTTATGTGACGTAGGCTATTTGTTTACTGTCCTAACAGGTGGTCATGCATTAAGCCGCATAACTTTACATCAACATATAACAGAACAACAATAACAATGATGACAAAAAATGCAAGTATTACTGTTTTAATCATCAAAAATGTATATAGAATGAAAAGTCTACACAACACAGTTATAAAAAGTCATATAAAAAAAGTCCTATCGAATGACAGCTTCTACTGTTCTGTTCCTTTTTTTAATTTTGGAACACGTTGCCTGGGTCTGACATGGTTTTCATAGAAGGTTCGCACAGAAAAGGCCTGTGAGTGTGTCCAGCCCTTCCCCTGGTACGTGTAGTCATACCCACTCTCTATGGCTTAAGTGCTTCTGCTTGTTCTCCCTGTGCCCTGCAAATTTCATGGACTTGGGGACAGTGGAAACGGAGCGGCTGTCGCTGTCTCACCCCTGCTACAAGCAAGCTGCTGACCGTAGGCAAGCTATGTTTTTATTTTTTTCAGTCCATGCATCATTTATTTAGTTAGTTTTAAATCTTGAGCTGGCCAAGATTTAAAAATTGCTAAACAGCAGACTTTACGTAAAAAGTTCTCATTTCTTGTTCTGGAAAAAGAAATAGGAAGATCTGGCAACCCCAGGCCTACATTCTTGAATAAAAAATAGTCCCCTAGAGCTGGAAGCACATTTGCCTTGGTCCCAGCGGCTCGTTTCACAAGTGTCTAGTGCCTGGGGACACATGAGTTTAGGCACGTCTGGAAGTCTTGAAGGCTCTTTCCTTCTCTAATACCACATGACCATTGAGCAGACGCATAGGACAACTCCAGCAGGAGGTCTGACGCAGAGAAGCCCCTAGCAAACTTCAGAGCCATCCCTTCTTAAAATAAATTCATAAAGGTGATCAATTAACGGTGCCCAAGCAAACCGCTGCAATCTTTTCTTCAGACTTACATAGATAGAATATTTATTTCAAAAATCCTCCGATACAAGGACTTTCAGAGTCTGTTGCTTTGGCATGCACGAAAGGCACCTTAAAGGTTTGGTCAAGTTTTATTATACAATTAACCGAAGAAACGTTAAAACTAAATATAGAAAGTCACAGGTTAGTTTTAAATTAAATGGGTAAAGTCAAGATGAAAATGAGTAATTTTCAGTGTTGGATTCTGTATATTTTGCTTCACTGGCAACAGTGTGAACTTTGTGCATACAGCTCATTTTCAATGGTTCGTTTTTCAAACTCGGTGCAGTTTTATTAATTAGTACTCTCAAACTTTTTACTTAGGTCAGTATTTCTGCTACATTTTTACCCCCTGCAGACCTCCTTGAATCACGTGAATCTTTTAAACTTAAACAAAAGAAACTCTACAGACTTCTGTGGCTCTTTGGGTTCATTCT